GGCGGCCGAAAGGAATCATCCTTGGGAGACCACCCCAAGGATAGGTGGAACGACGACGGGAATTTCCTTGAAAACCCCCAAGGAAACTTCCTTCGGCCCCGAGAACACTCCAAGGAGTGTCTAACGAGCCCCTGAGCCTGAACTCGTCCAGCCTCTGCTTCCTTTGGTTTGACTTGGTCCCGGTACCACATGCCCACGGCCTGTTTGCTTCGGAATGCTGAGGCCTGGTATTTTCCCTAATTTACATTGGTGTGTTGCTGCTTGGGTTTGTGAGTCACGACTTTTCATCTGTGGAACACAACTTTTGACTGTTGGATGTGACTCTTGCTTCTGGGACACGACTTTTTCCTGGAGAAGTGTCCTTTGCCTGTGGGATATGACCTTTCAATATGAGAAGTGTCCTTTGCCTGTGGACTAACTTTTGCCTTTGGTATGTGACCCTTTCACTGGGTACCCGTTGGAGTTGACTCATGGGGCACCCGAATGTGACCTTTCTGAAATTGCCCGACTTGGCTCCTTTTGGCCGGAGACTTTGACCGTGAGATTCGAATTTGGGGTCTGCATCGTGGAATGCCTTTCAACATGCACAAAGGACAAAAAGAATGGTGGTGTATATTCCCTCATTGTCGTTTGCTCATTTGGTGAGTGCTGGGGCAGGGATTACGGAGAAAGAAAGCATCAGGGGAAAATACTGCGCCGTACTTCTTCTTTGACCCTGAGAGTCGAATTTGGGGTCTGCATCGTGGAGTGCCTTTCAACATGCACAAAGGACAAAAAGACCGGTGGTGTATATTCCCTCATTGTCGTTTGCTCATTTGGTGAGTGTTGGGGCAGGGATTACGGAGAAAGAAAGCATCAGGGGAAGATACTGCACCGTACTTCTTCTTTCCCTTTTTTACATGTCATGAGTAGTGGAGTGGGCCTCGAAGGTGTGCCGACCCTGTGGGGCACCTCCCGTCATGCGCGGAGGTGAAGAAAAAGCCTGGGCAAGGTACTGGCGGTTTATGGAGGTGATAAGAGCATCCTCCTTAAGTGGCCCCTTGCGTTGAAGGCTCCATCTATTGGTGGGGAGAGGCACCGGCTGGAAATCAGGTCCACCATTTAGTTAGAATGATGATATAATGATTGTCTCTAACTATTGACTACAGAAGTCGATGTAGATTACTTCTTGAGCTCAAAAGACTGGGTACTGCCAACTACCTATCTAACCTTGATCAGCAGCCCCGTCCCTGCCCCCACTGTCTTTTCCTTTTCTTTATCATATTTGTCTCCCTCGAAAACTCCTGTCTCTTCTCCCTAGGGCAATGTTGATTTCTGCTATTATGGCGCTGAGGGCCTAACTACCATGCCCAGGCACTTACCCGGGCTAACACTGGCATTACACTGGCATTCCCTAAGAGGTTTTGATGTTAGTCGGCTTCCAGGGCTGTGCCTGTGCCAGTTCTTCCTCCCATTTTTCATTTGAACATTATTGTGTTTCCTGCCAGGCTTCCAAGTTTTCCTTCACCGAGGGTGTTGTTAATGAATTCGGCCCTGATCTCCTGCTCTTGATATGCCCGCTTTGCAATATGCCAATGAGCTGGTACTCTGTGCGAAGCATTTCCAGAAGCACGTCCCGCCCTTCTTGCGCTCGCACCTGCTGGCCGCCTAGTGATTCCATGCACCTTCTCTTTCAGGCTAGCCACAGTGTCAGGCGTCTCAAGTGTCTGTAGAGCTTTCCCTTCTAGCAGCTCCAAAACACCAGTGAGAATGATGACATCATCAATTGACAGTGTCTTGTTCCATAGCTTTCCACAGGGACCGAACCCTCCGCCAGATTTGTTCTGCCTTCAGGCTTTGAAATTTTTAGAAATTGGGTTGGCACAGTTTTTGGAACGAGTTTCCCAGATTTCTGAGTGCAAGACAGGAAACACTTGGTTTCCATTAGCTGACGGGGACCCATGAATCCTAGCTCCAACACCCCGTACGGTTGAAGTTTAAGATTTCAACGTGTTTATGAGAAAATACTTTCCGTTGGCCTGATTTACTATGAGCTCCCAACACGAGTACGTTTTTTTTGTGTACTCTGTGTGTTTTATACTCGCTTGCTGAGTCTGAGTCTGTGTCTGTGTGCTAGCTCTATTCTCGGGCCGCGTTTCTGTCTCAGGAAGGGCGGAGTGGAAAGTTGCTGATATTGGAGTGGTAGGGCTGAAACTTCGGCGGAATTGTAGAGCGGATGGACGTAATGGAAATCGTAGAATGGACAGGAACGACCCAACACGTCAGCAGCAGGATGACGTTCATCTATGGCCCCGATCACTGCCAGAGCCGGGGGTGGAAGGCTTAGCGGTTTAGGGATTGCAGGTCCATTAGATAGCGGGCTGGTTTTCACGAATGTCTTTTTGGAAAGGGTAGATGTGAAGGTCCCGCCGGTCTCGAGACGAAGGGGTGAGGAAGGAGGAGATAGAGATGGAGCTGGAAGGGACATCACAACTCCGACACAGACTCAACATGGACGTATTTCAAATAGTTCAAATGAAGAATGCATGAAAATACAGAGTGCAGCTGGGGTATACCCGCATCGGACTGATTCAACTGGATTGGCCTGGCCTGGTATCATCAGTGGTGCCGGGCAGGACTGGACTGGACTGAATAACCATGTGGCCTATGAGATCAGGCCAGCGGCCTCGTCCCACAAGCCAAATAGGCAATTAGCCTTGGCTATAGGTCAGGGTAGCTAGAGGCCTGTTGCACAATATAGGAAATGGAATGTAGCATGATACAATCCTAAAGTCCTGGAGGCAATTGCCTCAGTGCTGAGAGCGAAAGATGGCAATATAGCACAAGATAATTTTGTGTCGCTGAACCACTAAGAGTGGGATGGTCTTAAAGGGGGTGAATGCAGCCTAAGAACTGAAACTTCTGGGGGAAGTCACACACAGAGGTGGGATAGGTCATCAGGCTCGGGGCGGGGGAGTGGTATCGAAACAAAACCAATGATCCTAACAGATTGACCATCAAGGCGGGTAATGCTCGACAAAAGGGTGACTACATGTAGGGTGGATCATGAAACGGAAGGGAGCTGGGAATAAAGGGATATGCCTAACTGAAGGCATGCAATGGCCGACACTAGGGTGATGAGGGTAGTGGGTGAGGAAACATGCACACAACTCACCAACTGGGGGAGGAAGCTCGGTATGGGAGAAGGGAAGCCAAGATAACGCTACGGTCCCAATGCCAATGCAATATGAAGGGAGAGCCCAACTTTGGGAGAACCAACTCAACGAGAACCACAAGGCGTCACACAAAAGTGAATGTACAACGTAGGCTGGTGGCGTGACGTAGTCACGTGTAATGTAGCGTAAGCCGGTGAACCAACTAAGTGAGAACCATAAGGCGTCACACGAAAGTGAATGTACAACGTAGGGTGGTGGCGTGAAGTAGTTACGTGTAATGTAGCGTAAGTTGGTGAAGTTGCTGAATTTTTTTTTGTTGAAGTAGTCGAGGTCGATGTCGAAGCAGAGCCGCAAAACGCTGACATCCTGAGGTAGAGTTGATGATGAAGTACATGATAGTGTGAGTTAGTGAGGAGATGGTAGGTGATAAGAGTGTTAGTCGTCAAGACGCCGATGATGAGGACAAGTGCTTTGTGGACACGCGGAGGCGTCTGTTGACGGACGACCTCAGAGGGAGCATGCTCGACTCCTTAGCCAGAGGAGGAGGAAGAGGGTCAGTCGGTTGAGCATGAGCTGACGTCTCAACACGATGAGCAAGATCGTATGCACGCACTAACATCCTAGTGTGCTGCAAGTGCACGAGGGGTTCCCAAGTAGCCTCCTCATCAGGGTAGCCCTTCCAATGCACAAGGTACTCGATGAGTGAAGGGGTATTGTCGGTAACTCGACGAGATACGATGTCGGAAATGACGAACTCCTTGCATGATAGGTGGAGGGCGCTCATACGGGTGTTCGGCGAAGTGCTCAGACGATCTGCGATAAGGAAGCAACAAGGACACGTGGTAAACATCGTGTACGCAAGCCTGTCGAAGATAATTGGGCAGCGTCGCACAGAAGTTGATCGGACTAGTGACAACGTCAGAATGACGGCCTGAAGGATGCGGCATGGATTGAAGAAGCGACACCTGAACTTGCGAAGCGTATCCACTTCGAGTTGCAAGTGGCGGGCGTCGACGAGCATATCATCACCGACATCGAATGGATGATCCATTCACGATCAGTATGCTCGTGCAACCATACGAGTCTGGGAGGTGTGCGCGCTTAATAAGCGCTGCCACATGTGTGACCCAAACATCAACCACATGACAACTTGTGTCTGGGTGTAACCGCAACGGTCGCAGAAAATCCGGGGGTACGCAAGGGTGGTAGACGAGGTCGCAATAGAGTGGCGACATCCCCGTAGCTGGCAAAACGGTGTGGTTGTAAGTAATCTTCGCATGGGCTAAGTGTAAGTCCCACTGTCGGTTATCCGTAACAAACTTTCAGAGGATATTACCGAGAGTTTTATTGGTAACCTCAGTCTGACCATCCGTTTAAGGGTGGTAAGACGACGCGAAGTGGAGCTAAGATCGATACACGTTGAGTAGACGTTAGAGCGTGCTGGCAAAGTACGGGTCACGGTCAAAGATGATGCTTTGAGGTAAGTTGTGATCTCTCACGACTTGGTTAAAGAATGTCAGCGACCTCATGAGCGCTAATGTGGTAGCGGCACGGGACAAAAGGTGTACGCTTCATAAAGTGACTGACGACGGCCAAAATAGCATCATAACCGTGCTTAGTGGGAGGGTCGAGGGGGGCAACAAAATCCATAGAGATGGAATGCCAACGGCCTTCGGGTATGGGTAAAGGCTGCAATAACCTGTACAGAAGGTGGTTCACAATATTCAACTCCTGGCAGATAGGACACTCCTGGATATAGCTCATGATGAATTCCTTATGTTTGGGTCACTCATACAGAAGGTTAATGCGAGCGAACGTCTTTCGGAAGCCCATAGGACCGGCAACTGCCTGGTCATGAAACTCGGCTACTGGCTGGACATAGAGTGGTCAAGTGGAGGGAAAACAAACATGTGAGTTTCAGCGACCACACTCACCATGCAAGTACACGAGACCGTTTTCACTGAAGGAGTACGAAGGAATGGATTTGCTACTCCGCAATGTCACGTGGATGTCATGACAATCTGGGTAGTGGCGGTACTGAGTGTGAAACTCGTCGATTACAGAATGATGGACAGTGGTGATCGAGATGGCAACGAGCTGGATCTGCTCCTGATTGTGGTCCGAACGGCGGGACAATGCATCCATGACAAGGGTTTTGTCACCCTTGATAGGCTGAGTGGTGAAACTGAACTCAGACAAGTAGCGCCACCAGGGTGTTTGTCAAGGGGAAAGTGTGGGCTTTGTGAGGAAAGCCTTGACAATAGAGTTGTCTGTGCGCACCGTGAAGGGCGTCCCGTGAAGGTAATGACGCTAGTGACGGGTGACATAAACTACTGCGAGCACCTCACGTTCACCAGCATTGTAGTTTATCTCGGCACACAGTAACTAACGGGAGTAGAAAGCGATCAGAGAATCCCCAACACGAGCCTCGATAGTCCCGTCCACCGCAATGGTCAGAGTGTAAGTAACAGGAGAATTGTTAGTGGAGGGAAGTGGTGGAAGTGTAGGTGTCAGTCGAGAAGCAGTGTCAGCAGGAGGGGGAGGAAAGTGGGCAACATGAGGATGAGGGGATTCAGATGTAGTGGGAAACACCTGGGAAAGTACAACTACTGCAAAATCTGACGCATCGGTGGTGACTATGGAAGGACGATCAAAATCAGGGAGGCGGAGATCCAGCGCAGAAGTCATCGCCTTCTTGAGGGCGCGAAAAACATCCTCACAGAGGAGTGTTCAAAACCATGGTGGGTTTTTTCGGAGGAGGGTGGAGGTAAGTAGGTTAGAGTATCCGTTGTCTCCTCAGCTGAAGTTATTGTAGTACCTAGTAAGTCTGAGGAAACTGCGAAGCTGCTTAGCGGATGGAGGTGTGGGCCACTCCGCGATATCAGTCATCTTCGCATTGTCCATATGCAGACTGTGGTTAGACGAGAGCCGGTTAACGGAGGCCTCAATTTTCAGACCACTTGTCAGGCCATTTATAACAAAACCCAAGGGTCATTTTAACCAAACTTTCCACCAATTCATAGAGTGGAGATCGTATTAAGTACTTAATAAAAAAAATTGAAAAAAAAACTTTACGAACCTATAAAACAGCAAGGCAAAAATGTGTTTTTATGCAAAATTCGCTCATTTCAGTTTTTAGGATTTTCAGGATTTTCATGGCTAGCCAAAACAGTCAACTCCAAGACCCCAACAAACACCAAACGTGACACACACAGACCTTGGCCAAAAATAAAACAAGGCAAAAAAAAAAATCAGAAAAAACTAAAAAAAATGATCTCCGATGCACTTTTCAGGGTTGAAGGGGTTAACCAGGGCTGAAAAGTGGGGGTCCCTGTTAACCGCTTGTAGGTTAGACACATCTTGTCCTAAGAAGTGTACTCTGCGCTGGGCAAAGTGGCACTTACTGAGCTTGGCGTAGAAGTCATCCTTTCCCCACCCTGTAGGACATCGGAGAGGTATTTTAGATGGTATTCTAAGGTATGACTGTAGACCAGGATGTCGTCCATGTACATGAGAACGTACTCTTCAAGGATGTCCCTGAAGATATAGTTAATCGTTGTTTCCAAGGTGGTGGGTGCATTGGTGAGGCCAAATGGCATCATCATGAACTCGTAGTAGGCGAAGCACGATTATAAGGCGGTTTTCCGTTGGTCCTCTGCGGCAATGCGGATCTGGTGGTAACCGCTGCGGAGATCGATCTTCGTAAGCCGCAGTAGTTTTCCAAACGGTCAAACAACTCATCCACGCAAGGCATGGGATAGTTGTACTTAACCATGTAATGGTTAAGGCTGATTTAATCGATGCAGAGGCGAAGAGTTATGTCCGCTTTGCGAGCAACGAGGACGGGTAGACCCCAAGGGGAGTCACAAGGTTTAATGAAACCCAATCGAAGGCGCTCCTGAAGTTGACGCTCGAGTCCCGCCACCTCTGGAATCGAGAGTCGGTAGGGTGCCAGATAGTACACACGGCTCGACTGGCAGACAACTCACAGATGCTCTGGCTTTGCACATAAGCCTGCTCAGTCAATCCCCTGAATTGGCAAGGCAATCAATGCTGGCAGGAACCACGGCTACGCGCACATAGCCAGGATATTCCAAATCTTGTCTTTCATGTGTAATGGGACGCTGGACCCGATTTCCAGCACGTGCCGCACCCCACCAATAGATGGAGCCTCTCCTCCGGTGGTAGTGTTGTCTGCTCTTATCAGCAGCACTATCACGGGAAGGGTTTTTTTCCCAAAAAAAAAAAAAAAAAAAAAAAAAAGGGTGCCAGATGGTGGACATGATAGTCAGGCATGAGCTGGATAGAATGCTCAACACTGTGCATCGAAGGGATCCTGTTGTATTAGGAGTATGGGGGAAAGACGTCTTGGTGCTCTCAAATCAAGTTGCGAACGGCGGGTTCTAAGTCGATCGTGAACTGCTCGAGTTCCTCAGCAGCGTCAGCGCGAGACGTCTGGGCAGACCCGACAGTTGACGACGTGGGAACCTGGGATGTTGAAGGGGTATTCGCAGGCTGGGGGTGGTAGTAAAGATGGGAGCCGTGAAGATTGAGGGGTCAGGGGGATCAGGCTCCAAGGAGATTAACTCAACGTCTGGACACAGGGGAGTAGAAGATCCATGATGTTCACCAAGTAGAAGGTGACGTCCTCCTAACATATGAAGTGAGCAAAATGGTGAGGGGAAGTGAAGGCGATGTGTGGCTGGGACGCCGAGGGACAAGGGTCCTGGGGAGGAAGGTCAGAACGGGTGTTGCCCATGGTACCAATGAAGGGGACATGATGGGTTTGACCGCACTTCGTTCAAAGAACGAGTTTCTTGGTCGCCCATTCGCACTAATGGTTAATTAGTGGTGCCTTTTATTTCGTGAAATTTTCATCGAAATTGCCCTTTTTTTTTTTTTGCTTTTTTTTTTTTTTGTCTAATGCGTACTTACGTGCTTCAGGGTATATTTGTGTTCAATTTCCACGTATTTGGACCACTTACGAAGAAGTTGGCAAAAACACCGATGACAAAATCCATGGTGCGAATGTGATATAACAAGCACTGGCTCCCAGTGCAACCTCATAAAACACTATGATGATTGCAATATCAAGTTAATCTGTTCCGAAAATTTAGGATTCAATAATTTCATCTCAGAGATCCAATGTTGTTGAAATTTAGCATCTTTGTATATGCAACATCGTTTTTCTTAGCATACTTTCAACAGGAAAGCTACTCTGAATACGGTTTATAATGTTTTCGGTTTTTTTTTTTTTTTTTTTTTTTTTGCCTGTGTGATGACCCGTCCAAACATGGACTGAAACACACGGCTGATTTCTGAGTTTTGCCCATAGACAAAATGCCTTTGTGAGTTTCCTGCCTGCTACTAAGTCTGTGTGTGCACGCTTGCTGGACTGCATGTCTATCTAAGTGCTGCGCTTGAGTGTGTGTGTGGCCGTGCCTCTCTTGGTGCAGGTTGGCTTGAGTGTGTGTGTGGCCCGCAATGGCACTTGCTCGTTCATTGGGCCCTCAGGGCCGGTACTTACCTGTGGCCATGACATTGAGGGATTGCAGCGGGAAAAACACTCAAGTAGCGGGTAGGCCGGTACCGCACCTTGAAGAGGTAGATGTGCGGGTACTGGAGACCGAG